CCCCCAGGGAAGGTTTCTGTGGTTTTCAGTAGCCCTGGACAGCAGCTTCCCAGTTGTGTTCTCTGGCAGGACTGCTAAGTATATAGAATCTATAACTTTAGCGTCTGGAACTCGAGAAACAGAATTTAAATTATCTGGGCCACACTTTCCTTCTGCAGGATCCGGTCTCCTGGTGAGACATCTCCGTCCTTCCTAGGTCTTATATTTCTGAATGTTTGTGACACCACTGTTTCACAGCACAGCGAGGCCTGCAAGGATGAGGGCCAGGCCTGCAAGCCGAGGCTTTTCCCCAGTTACCTGGGTATACAGCCCAGGGGGGCACCCAGAGTTCACTAGGTGAGATGAGTCATAGTTTTGTACAGTCTGAATTGCATCACAATATTATTTATCATGGTTGCTGAGTCTTTTGGAGACCCTGAAACTCTTCTCTTTCCCCCGCACTCAGGACTGCACAGCCATTTAGGCTAAGGCCGCCTCCTGTCACTGCACAGCACACAGATAGGCACTGGGCCAGGCCTATTGTTTCAAAGTTTCCCTGGGTCTTGAAAGGCCCTGGGGCTCAGGCTGGTGATCAGAAGTGTAAAGGTTCCTAAACAAACCAAGGCCTTTGATATGATTGCCAACAGTCTCAATGCAATTCACATTCTGGGAACAAAGCAACCAAGGACCAGAGCGACCCTCCCAGCGCGATGGGGAAGTGCCTGCTAGGGGGACAAGGGTCAGGACAGAGGTCTTATCCTGGGTGCACTCTGTTAGACCCACTCTTTCACACGTTCACAGACCTGATTAGCTGCCTGTCTGCTACACAGCTGTGAGGCCCTCTTGACGCGAAGGCCAAAGCCTGCAGACACCCCATCCCCCACTGCAGACAAGCCGTACTGCTGTCACATGCAAACGTGTTCCTGCACTGGTTCAGGTCTTTGCCCTGGCTCCCACTTACTTCCCTACCTCGATGCAGTTTCGTTTTGTAGCTGTGCAAAGAGATGGAGTTTTTTCCTTACTCCGGGAAGGAGACACAAGGGCAAGGTCCCCAAAAGTGCCTTCCTCGATGACAAACACTGTGGGGGGCATGCCACCCGCGATGCTCCCTCCAAGGTTAAATATCTGAGCTAATTTGACTGTTGTTTTGGAGGAATGCAGGTGAACGAAAGGTAGTTTCCATTAGGTCAGAATGTTTATTCCACTTCCTGTTCTTGTCTGTTTTGCTGTGTTCCGGTGTGAAACCACTGAGTTTCAGAATCAGATGAAACTTACCGAAGGTCTGCTCCAAGATCTTTGGCAGTACAGTAACCTGATGACAAAACTAGCTTTCATGATGCGGATCAAAGGCCAGACTTTTCCCATAGAATCAGCAAGTTCAATTGGTGAACTCACTGTTGACTCAGGGTCTTGGTGTTTGCTGACCCTGTGTCTCAAGATTTCTTTTGCCCAGCACTGATCTGGTGGAGATGAAAAGAGGATCCACTTCAGTCCTCACAACTGCCCAGAACTGACTTGTGGGTTTCTCTCCCCTTCATCTGGCCCTTTTGAGGAAGCAAGAACACACAGAGCAGCGGAGCCACAAGAGCTCTGGCCACAAGCTGGGGTACATGGGTGGGTCACCAACTCAGAGGAAGTGGGGGGTTGTGTTGCATGGCAACAAAGGCAACCCATGAGCAGACCTCAGCTGGCCAGGCTGAGCACATACAAGCAACTGGTGCTCCTCAGGGACTGGTCCTGCCCAATCCGGGGGGGGGGGGAGGTCAGCATCCCAAAGCCACTGGTGACGCAGAGGAAGCCGGGAGGAAACAGTCAGTGGCTGCTCACCCCTGATTCACACTCAGAACTAAGATCAGGAAAGATCTGCAAAGGTCAGACACACTTTAGGATACAGGAACTGGAAGTCCAGAGATCAGAGTCCTGCGGTATCCAAGCCAGAGCCACCACCCTAAGGCCTTTGGTGTGTGTGGTCGGACCAGTTCACAAACACTCCAAGGAGCTCGCATCCGCCCTGGGCCGGGTGGAGAATAAATGTGTATCCTTCCTCAGGGAAGGCCAAATGAGGACTGTTCAGTTTTGCTGTTTGAGAGGAGCTTAGCGGCACTTTTCAAAAGGAATTATTTCATTTTATTTTATTTTATTGTTCTGAGGGGTAAACTCAGGGCCTTCACACTGAGATAGATCCCCAGGCCCTCTGTTTAATTTGTTTTTTAAAATTAGTGCCTAGTTGTTGTATATAATGATCATATTCATCGTAGGGAATTTGTACCTGTACATAGCATACCCTAATTCTCCTTTTTTACCCATTCCCTTTCCCCCATTTCAACCTTTCTCTCCCTCTCCATCTACAAAACTATTTCCATTTCTTCCTTCCGTTCTTTTTTTCTTTTCCCTTCCTTCCCTCACCACTCTCTCCTCCTAGTTCCCCCTCCCATGCATGATCTTCCTGCTCCCCAGTACCTGTCCTCCATTATGCTTATTTACCCTTTGGGTTTTGATTATTTTAGGCACTCAGTCTAAAGCATAAGAAGGAGATAAAGGAGGAAACCTTTAATGTGGGCATGGGAGAGCTTCATGGGACAGAGGGTACAGGAGCTCTCAATAAGAGCAAAGAAGTGGAACCATTTTTATTGGGTCTGGCTGAGGGAGGAGTTTGGGAGGTGAGCAAAATGACATATTTGAAGGAGCGTCTGCCTGTGTGAAACAGGAGACAGAAAGATTTACTGGGGGGGTAGGGATGGAGGCTTGGGTGGTTGTGGAGCCCTGGGATTGGAGAGGGCTCAACACACGGACAAAAGGCCGTGCGAGGTTTATCTCTGGAATGAGAAGGAGAACATAAAAGTTACTCTTAGAGACATAAGTTGTTTCTCTGGGTCTGGTACCTAGCTGGGTGGATGTAGCTAAACCCCAGGCTAGCAGAATCCATCAGGTTTCTCACACCAGAGAAACAATGCTGTATTAAAACTTGTATATCTGGGGCTGGGGATTTAGCTCAGTGGCATAAGCGCCTGCCTTGCAAGCAGGCAGTCATGAGTTCAATCCCCGGTACCGATAAAAAGGAAAAAGACAAAAAACAACAACAAAAAAAAAACCTTTGTAATCTGATTTATTCTCCTTAAGATGATCCTTATTTATGGCTGAGTAATACTCCATTGCATATAAATACTTACATTTTCTATTCATCTAATTCATCTGTTAATGGGCATATAGTCTGTTTCTAAGATTTAACTATTATAAATTTTACTGCTATAAATGTAGGTATGCACATACCCCTGTGGTACGCTTTTAACTCTTTCGGGAAGAAAACCAGAAGGGGAACACCTATGTCAAATGGAACCTCCAGTTCTAGTTTTTTGAGGAATCACCATACTGATTTCCATAGTGGTTGTGCAGTAATGGAGAAGAGCTCCATCTTCAGCTGGAGACACAGGGATTCATCCTCCGGCCCTCGGACTCAGCCAGGCAATTGGTAGCCCCCTTCTTATTTTTTATTTTAAGGCATAGTCTCACTAAATTGTCCAGGTAGGCTCCAACTCAAAAGTGGTGCTCCTGTCTCAGCCTCCCAAGTACTGGGATTACAGGCATGCACTACCATGCACCACCACGCCTGGCTATTTTCAAACACATAAAACTGAAAGAGTACAATAACCCCCCAAAATCAGCCTGCTTAAAACACCAGCAACACATGAACAGTTTTGTGTGTGTGTGTGTGTGTGTTGGTACTGAGGGCTCAACCCAGGGTCATGCATGTGGTAGGTGAGCACTCTACCACTGAGTTACATCCCCAGCTCTTTCTATTTTGAGATAGGGTGTTTCTAAACTACTCTGCTGGCTTCTAACTTGGAACCCTCCTGCCTTAGTCTTTGCAGAGTCCATCCCTGCCCAGCAGCAACTCAGACACTTAGCATGTGAGCCTCCTGGAGCCTGGGGATGTGGGGTTGCATTTGAGTGAAAAAGATGACCTTAACCTAGACATGGTAGCCTCTGCGCTGTGGTGGCTGCGGGGTTTCCCTGTGATAAAGAGGATCAGCCTCATGTCTCTACCACAAGGTTGCTGTATGAGTTGTCCATTTAGAAGATGCCACAGCCTGGGTGAGTTCCACAACAGGCATTTCTTACTCACAGTTCTGGAGGCTGGGAAGTCCAAGGTCTCAGTGTCTATAAGTTGGTCCCACTGAGGGCTCTTTTGGCCTATAGACAGCCCATGCTCTAACTCAGTGAGTATAGAGAGCTTTGGTCTCTGTCTGCCTGTAGGACACTAATCCCACCAGAAGGGCTGCACCCAAACCTGATTACCACACAAAGGCTCCATCTTCAGCTGGAGACACAAGGATTCATCCTTCGGCCCTTGGACTCGGCCAGGCAATTGGTAGCAACGCTCTACTTCCACATATCCAGCCCTGGTCCACAGACCCAACTGGGCCAGAAGCATCAAATACCAAAGATGGGTGCGGTACCTTATGCCCTTGACCCCAACACTTTGCGAAGCTGAGAAAGGAGGATTGAAAGTTCAGCTGGGCATGTAAGAAATTTAACAAGACCTGGTCTTGAAATAAAAAAAATAAAAAGAGCTCAATGTGAAGGCCAAAGATTCAATTGCCAGCACCACACACAACACACACACATACACACAAAAAAAATCAGTACCTAATAATTTGCCCCAGGTTCAGGGAGTCTGAGATGCTGTGGTTGGTAACTTTGTTGTTTTGTTTACAGTGCTGGGGATCAAAGGAGGCCTCCATGTTCATTTGGTCAGCACTGTGTCATAGAGCTTTTTACAAAGGTCCCTAACTGATCTCTCCCCCTCAAGGAACACTGAACTCAGAGCCTCCCACTGAGCTACATGCTCAGTCCTTTTTTAGTTTCTTTCTTTCTTTCTTTCTTTTTAGACATGGTTTCACTAATTCACTAGATTACACCAGGTTGAGCTAAAACTTGCAATCATCCTGCCTCAGCCTTCCATCCCCAAGCATTCTCTTGAGCATCTCGAGATGAGAATCTTTGTTTTGCAATGAGTATCTTTTAATTCCGAAATAGTACATTAGAAGTGAGCAACAAGGGCTACTTCAATATCGAATATCTAAAACCCTCGAATCCCCACATTCTACTCTGGATTTTGGATTTGTCTTGCCTTTGTTCTGGTTTATTCACTAAAGGGCCCCTCCCTTTGGGTCCCAGTGCCCAATCTTTTCTTTTTGTTATTTTCCTTCTCAGTTCTTCAGCACAGGAACTTTGTATTTCCTTTTTCATCACTGTATTTGCTGTGGCTTGATTGCCCCCAAGGCCCCATGTTAAGGACCTGGTCCCTGGCAGCACTGGAGCATGAGGGTGGGTGGAGGTCAGGAGGCCAACAGCTGTATACCGAGGGAGCTCCTGGATTATGAACTCAGCCTGCAGCACAGTGGCCCAGACAGATGCAGGACCTGCGCACTGAGCTGCATGTACAGTCAGCTGTTTGTTCATTCATTTCTATTTTGAAAGAGGGGCTCACTAAGTCATAAGGCTCGGTGTGTTAGTTACTTTTTTCTTGTGGTTGAGACAAAATACCCAACACTCATAAGTTAAGGAAGGAAAGGTTTATTTCATCCATAAATGGCTGGCTCCAAGGCAGTTTAACTTGAAACAACAAGCTTTGGCCACTGCTTTTTCTGTGCCTTACATTTTACCCAGGCTACTCAGGTAGGCAGCACTCACACCTTTAATGCTAGCATTGTACCACATCAGTCCCAGTGTCATACACTCCAGATCCAGCTATCTCTGAAAAGCCCTATCTCTGACTGCATGAGGCTTTGGGGGGACATCTAGACACAGACTATAACACTGGGCTTGAATTTGCAGTTCTCCTGCTTCAGCCTCCAAGAATTATGGGATTATAGGTGAGCAGGTGAGTGCCACTGCTCCTGATTAAACCTTTTTTTAAAACCAGGAATCAAACTCAAGACCTTGTGCAGGAACTGTGCCACTATATCTCTGACCCCTAAACCTTTTTTGGGGGGAAGGGTATTAGAAATCAAAATCAGGACCTTATGCTTGCCAGGCAGGAGCTTGTGCTGCTGATCTACATCCCCAGCCCTTCTTTTTTTTTTTTTTAATAAGTGAATTCCAAAAAGCATTTTGTTATTGAGACTGAAAAACTGACAAACACAATAATCAGTCACAGTTAAATTTTGCCCTGGCCGGGGATATAGCTCAGCCACACAGCCTTGCAAGTGCAAGGTCCTTACTTTGATTCCTAGTACCAAAAGGAAAAAAAAAAAAGCTAAATTTTGCTCTCACCTAAGAAAAAGAAATTTTTCTAGACTGTTTCAAAGAATGATGTAGATAAATTCCCAGTCAAGGTGAGGTAGTGCACACCCATAATACCAGTACTTGGGAGGCTGAGACAGGAAACTCCTTGGGAGTTCCAGGCCAGTATGAGCTACATAGTGAAAATAAGGCCAGCCCAAGCTACAAAACAAGATCCTGTTTCCAAAACAAACGAGAAAAATAGAATATAAATTCCTCATGAAACTGGGAGTTTGCTGTAGTTCACTACAATGTGCAACACATCACCCAGGATTCTTTTGAAAAACACTTTCAGGTCTCAGCCTGAGTTTCAGGATGTGACAAGTCAATACTGAGAAGTCTCCGGCTGATTCTGAAGTCCAGAAAAGTGTTGCTGCTTCACCATCTGTCCCCTGCCTCGCTGGGTGTGGTTTCTCCACTTTAGCCACAGCCAGCAGCAGCTGGCTGCGCTCTGGTCCTGTGTGCCCAGACAGCAGGGGCAGCAAAGAAGAAAAGCACACTCTGCCTGCCTCCAGGATGCAAACCGGACGAAAAAGGGAGCAGAAGTGGAGATTTTAAAACAGTCAGTTACCACCATGTTCCAGCGTTCCCTTTAGTAGGATGCAGGTTGGTTTGTTTGTTTTAGTCTGTTTGGCTTTGGTTTTTTGAGATAGCATCTCACCATATAGTTTAGGCTGGTTTTAAACTCTGGGGGAACCTCCTGCCTCAACCTCCCAAGTGCTGAGATTAAAGGAATGAGCCACCATGCCTGGCTTCTTAAGGTGTGTATCCATCTACCCACTAAATTGACTAGAGAAACTGAGGAATTTGCTTTCATTATTTCTGAGTCCATATGGGGCTGTTTGAGAAGTTAATCTGGCATCTTAGGATGCTCTGAAAAAACCTGAGTTTTTTAGAAATCTCTAGGAACCAGAGGGGCGCTATCCCTGGTCCTCTATCCCTGGGCTCTGCCCAGGATTTAGACATACTAGAAAATGTCATGGAGAGCAGTTGCCGCTTGCAAGCTGCACAGGAACAAGCCCCTGGTGGGAACATTCTCCACTCTGCTCTTACCTCACTTGTGCTCCTCTGTAAGACTGGTCTCTCCTTCCCTGAAGTGCAAGTTGGCTCCTCTGGGCTGCACCTTTCCCTCCACAACCCACACATGGTCTGCATCAGGCTTCCCACGCTCGGAGGTCCTCAGGTGACCCCGTGTCCTTGCCAGAGGATCCTGAAACTCCTGTGTTACATTTCCTTTTAAACAATATTTTATGATTCTCAAACCCTGAGAAAGTACAAACTGTATCCCAGGACAGAGAGAGAGAAAAAGGGAGAGAAAGAGACAGAGACAGTTTGAAACAAAGCACTTTCTTTCATCTACTAAACACGGATTGTAGAGAAGCAGGAGTCCTGGCCCTAGTTGCCTGGATACTGTGATTCCCATAAAGAGCCCTTTCCACACTGTGCCCTTCTCTCATTCAAGGCACGGATGCAGAAGGAAATGTCTGTGTCACACCTGTGGGCCCCGTGTTGCCCAAACGGCGAGTCTGGACTGCTTCAGCAGGCTCTCATCTTCTTTTGTGGTTGGAAGTGGTGTTAGAAACAGGAGTCTCACCGTGTAGCCCAGGCTGGTCTCGAACTTAGGGTGATTCTTTTGTCTCAGCCACGAGTGCTGAGATTGCGGGCTTTCCGTATGTCTGCAGGTGCTGTGGCCTCACAGGTCCTCTTCACCGGATTGTGTGTAGAATTTCACAACACCCACAGTTGCCACCTGCCTGTGCTGATGTAGCTGCATTTTGATCAGATCGTCTCACTATTGTGACAAGATCTAAGCATAGGGGGCTGGGGATTTAGCTCAGCGGCAAAAGCGCCTGCCTTGCAAGCAGGCAGTCGTGAGTTCGATCCCCGGTACTGGTAAAAACGAAAAAGACCAAAAAAAAAAAAAAAAAAAAAAAAAAAAAAAAAAAAAATCTAAGCATACTTCTCCTTTGTGGGAAATGTCAGAGCCATATATTTTGAATCCATCTGGGACGGACAAGTCCAGAGAGACAGCAAGCGCCTCGTGGCTGTCCAACTGGGGTGTTAGGGGAGAGGGGAGCCATGGCTTTCAGGGCTGATGACGGCATCCTAGAATTATTTGTGATGGTGGTTACACAACTCTGTGACTACAGTCTAATCAGGGAATTGTACATTGTGTTTTGTTTACATGTGTGGATTTTTGTTTATTTCATGTTGGTTTTGAGTCAGGATCTTGCTGTATAGTCTAGACTGGCCTGGAACTTACTGTGTAGCTCAGGCTCCAGCCTCAGCCTCCTAAATGCTGGGGTCAAAGGCACATGTCACCACGCCCAGTTAACCTGTACAATTTAAATGGATGAATTAAACAGAATGTGAATTGTATCTCAATAAAGCTGCTATAAAAAAGAGAGCTAAGCTCAGGCAGCACCGAAGAGGTAGAGGCTGCTTTGTTCCAGGGAAGGAGACAAACCACTTGGAGCTACGGAAGGGGCGTCCGGCCGCCCACCCCATCCATTCTCACTATGCACACAGCTGCTATTTTGGTCCTTTTTACAGGCTCATCATAGTTGGTGAGCAACTATGAGTCCAGAAACCGCAATGAGGTCTTGGTTACACTCAGCCTTGTTTCCAGTCAACAGTAAACATGACTAATGTCACCAGGGCTCAGGTCAGCAGGAAGAGCACACTGGGAGCCCACGCTCCTCTAGGGAGCTGGCAGCCCAGGCTCTGCTCCTGCCCTCATCTCTCCCACCCTCAAAGGAAGCCACACCAGGACCTCGGTGGGAAGGAAGCAGGACTGGAGGGGGACCCATGTGACCGTTCCCAAGGCAGGGTGAGGCCAGCGCACCAGCACACAAAGGAGACAGTTCTCCTGTCCCTTAGTCACAAAGGGCCTGTGTTGGCTCGGTGGGGCCATCCTGCCCAAGGCATTTGGTCAAACATTATTCTGCCCATATCCAGTTGGCTGAAGGTCTGAGGAGAACAAAGGTTGATCCTCCCACCCCACCCTGGGACAGGGACTTTTGTCTCGGGACTTTATGTGTGACATTGGCTCCTTCTGGTTCACCAGCAGATTGCTTCGGGTCTTGAACTGTCACTCTTCCCTGAGACTTCAGCCTCCTGGCCTCTCCCCATCAGATGCTGAACTTGTCAGTCCTCTAAAATAATTCATGACAAAGTTAGACATGGTGGTGCACACCTGTGATTCTAACAGTTGAGAGGCTGAGGCAGGAGGATCATTGTGAGGCTGAGACCAGCCTGGGCTACATAGTGAGACCCTGTCTCAAAAATAAGTAAGTAAGTAAGTAAATAAATAAATGATTCTCCCCTACATCCCCAAAATAAGTCTTTCTATGCAGATAAACATGCTTGTTGGTTGTTTCTTTGGAATACAGGCTATAGTTGCCCTTTTCAATACTGTCTGGTTTTTCTGTTTTTTGGTTTTTTTGGTACTGGGGATCAAATTCATGACTTTGTATGTGCTAGGCAGGTGCTTGTGCCACTGAGCTAAATCTCCAGCCAGAAATGTCTAGTTTTTTTTTTTTTTTTTTTTTTTTTTTTTTTGAGGCAGGGTCTTGCTGAACTTGAACTCATTATGTTACTCAGGCTGGTCTTACACTGAAGACAATCCTGCCTTAGCCTCCTAAATGCTGGGTTTACAGCTATGTACCATCATGCCTGGCTCAGACATATCTCTTGGAACAGAACAGAAGAGCAGCTTTGACCTCAGCAAGAAATCAGAAGGCATCCACACCGGCCAGGAGCTGCCTATGCAGGAGCTGAGGTCTAGGGCAGTCTGCATAAGGGAAGTAGTGTGAGAAACCTGCATGGTGTCTTCAAATAGAAAAAAGGGACTGAAAGACCAATGCCCATGCTTCTCCATTAGGCCCATGGCTGGTATGGCTTGCAGAAACACAGGTTTGCTAACATAACCCAGTGGTATAGGAAATGCTGCTTGCAAGGAGAGTCAGATGAGCAGTCCTCACTCAGAAGGAGTTGCTGAGAGGGCTGGTTTTTGGGTAAAGGCTCATCCAACACTTTTTAGCAGGGCAGCAGCAGACACCCTCTCCCTTCAGCAATAATATCCTTATTTTAGCATGTTCTGCATAAATGTTATGATTTCTTGCTTGCTTGCTTGCTTTCATGGTACTGCACAGTGAACCCAGCGCCTTTACACAGAGCTACATCCTCAGTCCTTTTCTTATGTTTTGAGACACATTCTCACTAAGTCACTAACTTATCCACGCTGGTCTTGATTTTGTGATCCATCTGCCTCAGCTTTCCAGAGCACTGGGATTACAGACATATATGCCATCACACTTGGCTCATATCACATTACTCAAGAACCCTTATGCATACAAGGTAATGCTTGTCAGTGAACAGGGATCACATTCCGAAATAAGTAACATCCACGCAATCATGCTGATTGCAAACTAAAAGCTGCTTTGAAGCATTTAGAGACATACATATTCTGAAACAAGAGTCTGCGTGATAAAAGAAGAAAAAAGAATGGGATCCCAGTGTCTTACTATGTAGTTCAGGCTGGCCTTGAACTCACTGTATCATGTAGCCCAGGCTGGCTTTTCTGAGCTTGACTCAGGAAAGATGGACGAGGAATCTGGCCTTCTCCTTCTCCTGGAACTCACAGGATTAGAGTGAGTGGCACACCAAGAAGCAAGGGACCTTGGGAAATGTAGTTTCAAGCATTACAGCCTCTGCAACACAGAAAGGCAACCTTGAAGGAGGTCGGAATGAGTGCTCATTGCCATTCCATTTCCACCACAAGGAGCGACCCTAAGTGTGATCCTTGCCCGGCCTCAGGGGTAACTTGTGCTAGTTGTGTTCAGTTCCACCCAAGCGCAGTCTCAGGGTTTATTCTCCTTCTTTTCCCCAGCACCTGCTACAGACCTCCAGCCCTGCCTTCCTCCTCACTGGCTAAAGAACATGCCAGGATATTGCAAGGAGGGAAGGAGAACTCAGACCCAACATTTTCTTCTGCCTCTGACAGTATGCAAAGCCCTGACTGCTGTCAGGTGTGAGTTCTCACCAGACTCTGCCAGGAGCAACTAGCACAGTCCCTTGGACGTCAGAGTCTGGGGCTTGCTCAGAGGTGGGCTGGTGCTCAGACCTGGCCTTCACCCCCTGTTCTCACTGCTTCTCTGCCTTATCACTTGCCCTCTTATCTTTGCTCAACCTTCAACCCAAAGAATTTCTCATTTATATAATGAGATTTGCTTTCCTCCTGCTATTTTCTCCTCTGTCTTTTGCCCATGAGTCCTCTTAGCCCACTAAGGACCTAGACCCATGGCTTTCGATCTTGTCTTGCTTCTTCCCTTGTGTGTCCTCGGGTGCTGGTCATTTGTGTCTGTCCAGTTCAGAGGGGCCTGAGCTACACTTCTCAAACACTAATGCTGAGCAAGATACTAGGATCCCTCCTTTAATCCTGGTGAAAATACTGCCAAGTGGTCCTTTGATGCTCCGTTCACAGATGAGGAAACCAAGGCTCAGATGTCACACTGCCAGAATTGCCAAGTCCAAGATCTGAACCCAGCATTGTTTGGTTCTCAGGCCCAAGCCTTTCCCTCATCTTCATAATCTAGTGTTATTTT